TTGTGATGCAGTTGTGTCCTAATACCGCCTCCAACCGGCAGGGAGAACCGTGCCTCCCCTCCCGGGTCTGTAGGTGTAGGTCCTCGCTGGGCCGCCGTGCTTATACGGCCTTTGGAGAAGCTGCCTCCGCCTTACACGCTTCGGCGTTGTTGCAAGTGCACCAGGCCAAGGCACTGAGGGACTTGCACGAGGGTGGTCACGACCCGGAAGTTCTCAGAAAACTCCGCACCGCAACGGACCTCGCGCTACGAGCGACGAAGGTTACAGCACGGTCTCTGGGTCGTGCGATGTCCAGCATTTTCCTCTATCTCTGGGTCCCCAGAGGGGACGGGGGGTTGTGGACGATCCAGTGTCGTATCACACTTACCCTCCTCTCTCGCCAGTGAGCAGCAGTGGGCGGATCGGGAGGACGAACCAACGGACTACCCACGCACCCTCTGCTCGAACGCAGGTCAGTGTTACACACACTCAGACCCCGCCTCGGACCGGCTACGAGACGCCCAGGCTGGGTCCCTGCGTTCTTCCTCGCTGCCCCACTGCAGGTACGCCTGTAGTTCCGTTGGTACCACTTGCGCGGCGTCTGGGAATTCGCCCGGCGCCCTCCCAAGTTCAGGGGCGTCCACTTTACTTCAGTGAAAGCAGCAGATGCCCCTGTCTTGCGTGCAGAGATCGCAGTCCTGCTGGCGAAGGACGCGATAGAGCCGGTCCCTCCAGCCGATAGGAAGACGGGGTTTTACAGCTCCTACTTCAATGTACCCAAGAAAGGCGGTGGGTTACGACCAATCTTGGACCTGCGTGTCTTGAACCGGGTCCTTCACCGGTTACCGTTCAAGATGTTGACGCAGGAACGCATCTTCGGGTGCATCCGTCCCCGAGATTGGTTTGCAGCGATCGACCTGAAGGACGAGTACTTCATGTGTCGGCCCTTCCGCACCACAGACCATTGCTGCGGTTCGCAGCCGAAGGACGAACATATCAGTACGAGGTCCTGCCCTCCGGGCTGTCCCTGTCGCCCCGGGTCTTCACGTAAGTTACGGAGGCATTCTTTGTTCCCCTGAGAACAGGGCATTCGCATTCTCAACTACCTCGACGACTGGCTCATATTAGCTCAGTCTCAGGATCAGTTGTGCGAACACAGGGATTTGGTGCTCTCACACCTCAGCCTGTTGGGCCTTCGGGTCAACTGGGAAAAGAGCAAACTCTCCCCGACGCA